CTCCAGGAAGGGGAGGAGGCGAGGGGAACCCGCCGCGGAGACCGAGCGAGCCCCCCGCCCAGCCTGGCGCCCGGGGACCCCCCAGCACATGAAGTGAACGCCCCCCGGGAGGACTTGGGTGCAGAGCCAGGCACGAAGGTAACCGGACGACCACGGGCTGGGGCAGAGGCAGGACCTCTGGGGGCTTGGCTGCTCGGGGATGTTTCTTTAGCCACCTCGGTCTGTGTAACGCCCCAGGTACCTCCCCCAGTATCTTTCCCTGCCTACCTCTAGCGCTGAGCTCTGCGGTCCTTCGGCTTTGCCTGTCCAAGTCCTCTTGCTATTCATTTCAGTGTGCTTAATGCTGTCTGTCCGTCTCCCCAGTTTTCTCTGACTGCCCCTTCCTCATTCATTTTTCCTTCTCTGACTTTGGTTCTCTCATCTGAGCATGCTGTCTTGTTATCTCCCTGCTTTTAATGGTTCCCTGGGTTTTCAGCCTCCGATTCCTTGACTTCTGTCGCCCTCCTGCCTGTGTCCCGGCGCTCAGTATGCACAGTTCTCTGCTAACTTGGGTCAGTTCACTCCTGGCACACCACTGTATTAGCCCTTTCCCGTGATGTATGTGAGTCCTCATTAGAACTTCATTTTCATCCAGGTTTCTGTATAGAACAAGGACCCGTTGGCGTTTCCTGGCCCCATTTTTAAAGACTTTTGGCACAGTCTTCTTTGCGAACCTCTACCCCCAATTCCTCATCCCTTCTATAAAGAGAGTTTTATAAAAACTCAAGAGAAATGGATCTTCTCCAACTCTTGACTCAGTAGGCCCAGTATCAGGTCGTCTTCAGTAACGTTTCCCAGCTTCCTTCCGTAAGTCTATGCACATCAAATGTGACCGTGGTTTAGCCACCCTGGGGATCAATCAGTTTGTCACTTTCTCTTCCAGTTTAATTCTGAATTTTAAATCTAAAGTGTCTCCCCAACTTCTTGTTGTCTATTTAGCTTTACAGCTCCAACTTTGATCATGAAGGAATAGATTTTTAAGGAGCCCTGATAGAGTAATGGATTATGAGCTGGGCTGCTAACATCAGGGTCAGCAGTTCGAATCTACCTACCAGTCATTCCGCTAGAGTAAGTTGAGGCTGTCTGCTCCTATAAAGATTTACAGTTTCAGAAACTCTATACAGGGTTGCCATGAGTTGGAACTGACTAGTTGCCACACACCACAATTGTGAGGATAGCGCATGACTCTGGGCAGTGTTTCCTTCTGTTGTATTTTAGGTTGCTGTTGAGTTGGAATCAGCTCGACAGGCACCTAATGATACCACAGCAAGAACCAAGAATCTTGATTTTGAAGACAGTTCCCTCTGACTTTCTGAGAGAATTTAAGCTGGTCCTTTTCCAGCTTACTCCCATGTCACAATCTAGGAAAAAAAATGAAACTTAACTTCTTTCTTTGAGGAGCTAAGTCATATACTGTCTATGGACATATCACATATAAATGTAAGAATTATTACTCCTGTAAAGCTAGGCACTTAACAACAACAACAACAACAACAACAACAAAGCTAGTAAAAGGATACACACAAAGGAGTCTTATGTTTGTGAGTCCTGTTAACTAAGTCCAGTGATCTTTACAATTATACCGTGCTGCCTCTAATCCTTACCCACTTTTTTTCCCTCACATGCTGATAATGAGGACTCATGGGTCTGTATCTGTTTAGTGCTTTGATATTTTGGCAAAATATGTGGGGAGAAGATAGACAGAGTTGAAGTTGATTATCTCCTATGTATATTGTGGGTTATTTCCATGTTTGCAGTGACATTTGTTATTCCTAAGTGAAACTGAAAAGATGGGTAAAATTCGTGGGATAATGTTATGATCAGATGATGTTGGGAAGGGAGTAAGAGATGTGAAATTTTGCGAAGGATAAGTGGTTTAATTTTATTTACTTTGTTTGCCTTTGATGCAATTCTATGAGAAATCCATTCACCCCAATAAAACTGTTGACAGCCTTGAGCAGAAATTCTCATTAGCTGTTTACATTCCTAAGCCAAATAGTGCTTTGCTTTGCTGACCTGATATTTCTAGTGGCTCTGTGCCCAGTAGAGAATATAGTTTCTAGGTTTAACACAAGAGGAAAAAAAAAGAATGAACAAAAAAACCTTACTTTCATTTAGTGCCCATTTGTAGGCATATTCTTCTAGCTTCTGTTCTGTCTCTTTGAGTGGCTCTTAGCAATGTTTCCATATGTATATCTTTTTTGCACATTTTAATGTAGTCTCTGGAAGGTAAATTCTGATCCCCTCAGTAGACTCAAAAGTTTTTGATGATTTGCATTGCGACTCTTAATTTTTGGGACTCTTAATTAATTTTTTAAGGATTTACTTTGTTACATATTTAGTGTTATGTTTTTATGCCTAGGAGACATTTGTTAAAATGATATTATACTATATCATTTATTTAAAATTTAACTTATATGATCAACTCATATGATTGTATCATATCATCTGCTGTCTTTGCAAAAAGGGAAAACTGAGGTTTAAAGAGAGAAAGTGACAGTAAACTGAGCTAGAACCAGGCAACTATTTAGGCTATATGAGTTAAAGGTTCGCGCTTTTACTTCCCAGTGTTATGACCTCCCATGATCCATTTAACATCTGTATTGTAAGGCCTTCTTTCATAAAATGAGGATGAAGTATTCCTAGTGAGTGGCAGGCAGTGCCTTAATCACAGATTTTTTTGTGGGGGAGGGGTATTGAAGAAGCAAGTGCTAGTTTAAAGACTGATGTTGATTAGTTATATGTCCATGCACACTTTCTTTAACTTCAGAAAACCTCTATTTCCACAATTGTAAATGGGGGATAATAATACCACCACAGCCCTGAGAGTGATTATGCAGGTGAAGAGCATAGCCCGGTGACAGGCACCTAATGGCTTTTCAGTAAGTGGTGGCTGTTAAGCTGATGTTGCTAGCGATACAGATAGAGATAAAAATTGATAATAGCAACTGTTAAGTGGGCTGGTTTTAGCCTGTTACAAAGTTCTGTGGGAATGTAAGGTGGCCTTAAGTACTGTGAGATACTGTCTTAACATGGCCATTTTATTTAATGACAACCATGAGGGGATATGTAAAGGTTGTTGCTTATAGACACTGCATCGCTTCAAAAGATAGTGTGGGAAGCATGGTTGTAAGAATGTTTTGTGGGTTTGGGAGTTCTAAGACCAGAAAAATCCTGAGGCTTAACAGGATTCTTAAATTAATTATAGGCTTATTGTGGTCTTGACTAAAGTTGTGAAATAACAGTTTGGGATCAAGGTGTACATTTTAACCCTTTGCTGCTTCTGTCTAGGTCTTGAGTCAGAGTACCAGCCTTGGGGATCCTGGACCACTATCATGGAGACTGAGAGTGAGCAGAACTCCAACTCCACCAATGGGAGTTCCAGCTCAGGGAGCAGCTCTCGGCCCCAGATAGCTCAAATGTCACTATATGAACGGCAAGCAGTGCAGGTGAGGCTGAACTCAGGAGGGGCCGGGATCTCTGAGTGTTGGCTTGGGGATAAACATGACTGCTTGAAGGTAATTGGCCTTAGTTCCTTTCCAGGGAAACAGAGTGGGTGGCCTTTTGAATCAGGTGATTATTAAGGAGTCTTGGTGTGGTGTTCTAGGGTAAGTACTGGACCTAGGTCAATTGGAACTGCAAGGTCGGCGGTCTGAACCCACCAGCTTCTCCTCAGAAACACTACACAGGGTTGCTGTGACAGTCATCAACAAAAAATGAGGTCCTTTTTAGCTCTGAGAATCTGAGTTTTTTTACAACGGTTTGGGCAAACATAAAATGAGGTTGAGTCTTTCTTATAGAATTTAGTCCAACTAACTAGACTGAATGTTAACTAACCATTTCCCTTCATGGATTGTGTCAAGCTTTTCATCTTTGGCCTTTTTTTACAAATCACCTTGAGTAATGTGTGTATGCACATCTTCCTATATTTTTAGACAAATAGTAAATCTTAGGCTTTAAGAATTCTGTTTGAGAACGGGGCTTTTTATTTAACAAAATATTTTAGTAACTAGAATAACCATGCCCATTATGAAAACAGTTTTAATGATTAAAGAATAGGAACACAGTAAAATCAGTTAACGCTAAAACTGAATTACATGTATCACTTACATAAATGTCAACTAACTTGATACTATAAGTACTTGAAAATGTCAGTTAATTGAGAACTTTACCTGATAGAATATTTCAAAACCATGATTTGTTGTAGGTTTCATTATTTCCAATCCATTAGGGCTCTCTCGGAGTTCTGGTGTGGCACTGTGGGATGAATCACTGGACCGCAAGGTCAGTTTGAACGATAAGGTCAGTGGTTCAAACTCACCAGCCACTCCTTGGAAACCCTATACAGGATCTCTATCATTCAGAACCACCTTAGCGGCACTTAACAACAACACAGCTCTTACCACCTTTACTGTAGACCTAGAATAGACCTAAAATGTGGTTTAATTTTCTTAATTCTCTTTACAGTAGTCAACATCCTATGATTTTTTCAACCTGTGTAGTCCCAGTTCTGTTTCTCTTATTATGTACTTATTATATACTTTCAGGCCTCCTTTTGGGCACTAAGGGTTCATGTGAGTTGCACTGTTTTCCTTTTCTGTATATACCAGAATGAGTCCTGGTGGTGCTGTGGGCTAGGCACTGGACTGCTAACCACATGGTTGGCAGTTTAAACCCACCAGTCACTGTGTGGGAGAAAGACGAGGCTAGCTGTCTGTTCACGTAAAGGTTTGCAGTCTTCGAAACCATCTATAGTATAGGGCTGCTGTGTGTTGGAATCGACTTGATTATAGTGGGTTGGTTTTTGCTATGTACCAGAATAGACCTTAGCAGAACTAAGGGGGCTTCAAGAAGTTTGTGGAAAAATGGAATGAAAAGGTACTGCAATTTTCCCATGAACTTTCTGAAGCCCTTTGTATAAAATGCGTAAATCAAGATGTTTATGATGTAGCCCAGTCTCCTGTTTGCCTTGGTTTCTCCTTTTCCTGTGGCTCTCTTTCACAGGAGTCCATATAGATTAAAAGTTAGGCGTGATCCATCTAAGTGGTCTGGTCCTTCTTTCTCCTTTCAGGCTCTGCAGGCCCTGCAGCGGCAGCCCAATGCGGCTCAGTATTTTCACCAGTTCATGCTCCAGCAGCAGCTCAGCAATGCTCAACTGCACAGTCTGGCTGCTGTCCAGCAGGTGAGTGGTCAGTAGCTAGTTGGCCTGAGAAGGAGGGAATAGACATTTCAGGTGTATAGAGAGACTTGAGATACTGCATCCTATATGAGTCAGGCCGGGATCAGAGTCTCTGCCTCTTGCCCTTCCATAGGATGTTGGGTGAATGGACCTTAGCTTCTGTGGTTGCAATAAGAACCATGGAGAAAGCGCCATTAGAGGTAGAATGGTATGTTCTAGATCTGCACTGTCCAATGTGGTAGCCATTCACTACATACAGCTGTGAAGTGCTAGGATGTAGCTAGTCCGAATTAAGATGTGATGTAAAATTTTAGATTTTAAAGACTAAATGGGGTGGAGAAAGTAAACTACTTAATTAATAATAATATTTTATATTGATTACATGTTGAAAATGTTTTCAATATATTGAGTTTAATAGAATAAATTATTAAAATTAACATTACTTGTTACTTTTTAAAAATGCATATTAGCAGATTACATTAGTGGCTCACATTGTATTTCTGTTGGCTAGCTCTGGGCTGTGAGCTAGACTTATCAGTGATTCATGATGTGACCAACCAAAGGTCCTCCTATTGAAAAGAAAATAGAGCCAAGAGGACAGGTTGCCAGCCATGTTTGGGGGGGGTGGGGGTGGGGCTGTTAGATTAGTATATATGGCAACGGAGGTTTCTTTGGGATAGCGAGTAGGCTTTTCCCTACTGGAGAGAAGAGTCTCTTCTTGTCTGAACTCTTTGTTTTGTTTTTTTCTCCCTGTGCTTTATGAGTGGAAGACTCAAAACCCTTTCCTTATTGTCTCTGCTGTTTCCTGTTTTCCTTCCCCTCTCACAGGCCACTATTGCTGCCAGTCGGCAAGCCAGCTCCCCAAACACCAGCACTGCCCAGCAGCAGTCCCCTACCACCCAGGCCTCGGTGAGTACTTTAGTCCTCACTGAGAGGCGTCTTCCTCTGCATCTCTGTCCCTGAGTCGAACTATTTCCTGCAGTTGATTTGAGAATGGGTATTGGACTATCAGTGGATGTTTACTACTCATTTTCCAAGAACAGACGAAAGACAGAAAGTAGCTAACTTTAGTCTTAATAAGAGGGCTTAAGAACAGAGGAAGGAAATCTTAGGAAAAAGGGAGATAACAAATGAAAGAGGCTAATCTCTGGGTCCTTCACTGAGAAACAAGGTCTCATCCATTTCATTCCTTTGCCTTCTCAACTGTGAAAGACAGTATTTGTTCTCACTCTGGCAGTTCTTCAAAGTAGCCACCATGACAGATACGGGTAGGGCGTTTTTAATAATTTACCCATGGTTGCATGAAAGTGAAATATTCTACTCTTGACTCTTGATTGTGCCATTCTGAATTTGTCAGTAAGGGAAAAAGTACATTTCCCTTCTCTCTCCTAAATCCTAGTCATTGTTTCTTTCTGTACCACACAGATTAATCTGGCCACCACGTCGGCCGCCCAGCTCATCAGCCGATCCCAGAGTGTGAGCTCTCCTAGTACCACCACCTTGACCCAATCTGTGCTACTGGGGAACACCACCTCCCCACCCCTCAACCAGTCCCAGGCCCAGATGTATTTACGGGTAAGCCACCAACGCCCTGGGGCATAGTTTTGTCCCTGATAAGGACTTGAATGAGGGCCATTTTACATGGCCCTCCTTACCAAGATGCTTTGAGGCAAGCTGATCTACTTTGTACCTTATGTACGTCGGTGTTCACATTAACCTTTATATTACATGGAAATCCTAAACTAGAAGGTGTTGTTCTTAATATTTGACTAAATTAAGTTAAATACAGACCAAACTTTAAACATGTGGCTCAAGTATGCAAGTTTGATGTGTTATGTCTTAGCTCATCTGCTTTTTTATGTATAAGTGCTTGTTCTGAAATCCTCCTTGTCTCAACTTCTTTGCTGTTTGACTCTTTGCTGTCAGTCTGTAGTTTTCTGTACACTCTAGGTTTTCTTCTGGATAAGCCATCGTACATGGAGGATGAGAGGCTCCCGGGTTGGTGTGGAAAGGGGCAGGACTTAGCTGTTTAATATCTTCTGTTTATTTTGTCTTGTGGCCCTTCCCTTCCGTTTCTTCTGTCTTTTTTCTTTTCCTCTTGTCCTCTATTCCTCCGCTCTTCTTCCTGCTCTCCTTGCCAGCCACAGCTGGGAAACCTGTTGCAGGTAAACCGGACCCTGGGCCGGAATGTGCCTCTAGCCTCCCAACTCATCCTGATGCCCAACGGGGCCGTGGCAGCAGTTCAGCAGGAGGTACCATCTGCTCAGTCTCCTGGAGTCCATGCGGACGCCGACCAGGTCAGTGGCTACCACTTCACCTGCCTGTAGGCGCACAGAAGACACACCTTTCTGCTCCCTTGCCAATTTTTCAGAATTCTTTCCTGCCCTCCCTTTCCTTAATTGCTGTGGAATTTGAATTCCTTACAACTTTTGAGTTAGGAAGGAAGGCAAGTGTTTCTCTTTATTCTATAAGTATATATTGTTATTGAAAGAGTGTGCACAGCCAAACATACTGACTCAGTAGTTTCTATAATTCAGTAACACTGATTACATTCTTCAAGTTCTACAACTATTCTTGTCTTTGTTTTCCAAATGATCCCTTCCCCATTCACATGAACTCCCTGTTCCCTAAGCTTCCTAGCTGCCCTTTCAGGTTGCTGTTGTCAATTTGATCCCATATATAGTTCTTCAAAAAGAGCACGATGTTCAAGGCAAGCATTCTTTATGAAGTAAGCTAACCTATTGTTTGGTGTAAAGATTTCAGGGGATGCTTTTGGTTTGATATTCTAATTTTAGCATTTTCGGGATCCATCCGGCCTCAGTGGCTCTAGAAATTCTGTATTCCATGAGAATTTGGAATTCAGTTCTGTGTTTTCCCCCTTTTGGTTAGAATTCTTTCATAGACTCTTTAATCAAAATGTTCAGGATGGTAGCTGGGCACCATCAAGTTCTTTTGGTCTCATGGCAAAGAGGCATTTGTTCATGGAAGCAGTTAGGCAAGCATGCATTCCATTTCCTCCTATTTCTGATTCAAGGAAATCGATTTGATGGAAAACAGCCTGTGGATCTGGAAAATCTGGTTTGGTACTTTGCACTTAGGAGTTATTGCACTTCTCAGCTGTCAACAATTTCCTCATTCCTGTTCACCTTTGTTCTTAGTAAATGTCTTCCTCCCTATTTCTTAACTTGCTTTATTCCTGATATAGAAATATGTATGTCTGTGTGTGAATATACACACAGACATATATATTTGGGCCTGAATCTATCGTTTCAATGGGGTACAAACAAGGAACTTAAATCTCTCTCTCTTTCTCTCTCTCTTTTTTTTTTTAACATTTTATTGAGGTTTAGGTGAAAGTTTACAGAGCTAATTAGTCACCTTAGTCACCCATTCAACAGTTTATACACATCTTGTTTTCGTGGCATTACTTGCAATCCCCTTAACGTAACGGCACTCTGCCCACTTCCTCCCTGGGTTCCTTGTTTCCATTCCCCCATTTTTCCTGCCTCTTCCTTCCTTCTGCACTTTGTTTTTGGTAAATGGTTGAGTGTTCTGAGGAGCACCTTCCCGACAAGTGTAATTGTTCACTTTATAAGCCTTGTCTGTTGTTTGGATGCAAAGTGATCTCCAGGGGTGGGGTCAGTTCCAGGTTTGAAGAGTGTCTATGGGCTGTAGTCTCGAGTTTCACCATTCTCTTTCAGACCAATAAGTCTAGTTTGAAAGGTTTCTTATTTATGATCTTGGATTCTGTTCTGTATTTTTCTCTGCTCTGTCCAGTACCTTGTGTTTGATTCCGATCAGAGCAGTCAGTAGTGGTAGACAGGCACCGTCTAATCCTGTTAGTTTCAAGCCAGTGAAGACTCTGGTTTGTGTAATCCATTAGTCCTTTGGACTAGTTTGTTCCTTGTGTCTTTGATTTTCTTCAGGGTCTCTTTTTCGTGATGTGCTAGAAACTTTTGAGAAGATTCAAAAGAAATAAGTCTTATTTTCAAAGAGCTTACATGTGAGTGGCATATGAGTTCAGAGAAGAGTTGGCTGTGTATTTGTGGGGCACTTGAGCAGAACGATGTATTAGGATTTGATTTGGAGTAAGAAGAAACTCTGCAAGCATAAAGGGATAGTTCCTGTATGTAAGTGTGAGGGGGTGTGTAGTATGGGGATTAATGGTGAGGGAGACAATGTGGAGACAACAGGTTTGGTGGTAGAAGAGGCCTATGTTAGCGAGGAGCCTGAAAACGAAATAAAGGAAGTATAGTTAACTTCATAGTAAGCAGGGTCATTGCTCGTTATTGAACAGAAGATTCACAGGATAAATAAAGTACTTTGGAAAGAATAGTATCAAACGTGCCTGGAGAAGAAAGTGATATAAATTAGGGAACCTGCTTAAGAAACTCTTGGGGTTCATGTAGTTATAAGGTAAGGCCTTTAGTTGTTGCTGTTAGATGTCGTCTAGTTGGTTCTGACTCATGTGGCCCTGTGCCCAGTCCTGCACCTTCCTTACAGTTACATGTGTGAGCCCATTATGGTAGCTGCTGTGTCAGCCCATCTCATTGAGGGGCTTCCATGTATTTATTTATTTATTTTTTATTGTGAATTGAGTGAAAGTTTCCAGACAACAAACCATGAATTTTGTTTCATCTCCATGGTTACATTCCCCTCCATGCAACAGCAGTTATCCCGTGTCCTCCCTGAGGTTCCTGTTTGCATTGCAGTCACCCTCCTATACCTTCTCAATGTTGTCCTGGGAAAACTGCTGCCCTTTGGGTTTTGAATGATTGACCATTCTATGAGTAGTCCTTATTAATGTTGTTGTCTCCCCTTCCTCCCCATAAACCTATCTAATGCTTGGCTGAAAATTGACTCACGAGGGTGAGTTACTTTCCAGATCTGAAGGGTAGTTGAGAGAAGACTTGTATTTTAAATTATGGTAGTAGAAGTGAAAGTGGAGGATAAATTTGGGATTGCTTCATATTCAATTCATACATTTATCCATCCAGTCATCTGAGTGTCAGTATATGGAAGGATGGGGGGTAGTAGTTAAAAAATGTGAGTCTGAGATTTAGATTCCAGCTCTAAGGTTGAGGTGAAAATTTACAGAGCAAATTGGTGTCCTATTCCTTGAATGAATGATCTAACATCCTCCTTTCATAGTTTCTTCATCTATAAAATGAGTACTGCACAACTCCTACCTGAAGGTGGGTTGTGAGGACTAACTGAGTTGATATGTATGACGCTGGGAACAGTCCTTGGATATATTGTCAGCTCATTCTGTGTATCAGACATTCTTTAGCCGTGGAGCCCAAGAGACTCATGATTATACTACACTGATGGAGAGTATGGACCAGACATGAAACATTCACCTGAATGGTTTAATAATTGTTTCACTGGAAAGTCCGGAGTGCTCTGAAAACATAGGAAAGGACCTAATGGAGCCTTGGGAGGGGCAGGAGTCACGAAAAACCTTCCTGAGGAGGTGACACTTAAATTGGGGCCTCTAGAAGTTAGTAAGGCAAGGACGACCCGGGGATTCTGAAGTTGTTGAAGGCCCAAAGGCCTGAAAGAGCTTGATATGTTTGAGGGGTTGAGAGAAGGTCTGTGTGCTCGGGTTTGGCAAAGGGGCATGAAAACGGTACTAGAGAGTTACGGGGAACTTCATTTTGCAGACCCTTAAGGGGCGTGTGTATTAAAAGACCATGTTGGCTTCTCTATTGAGAATGAATAGAAAGGATATGAATGAGTATAGGAAGAAAAGATGCTGTAGGGTAAAGATGGTGATTTGAGTTAGACTGGTAGTAAATATGGAGAGAAGTGAACAGATGTTCACTTAGAAAATTTAGAAAGATGAATTCTTGAAGACAGTGAACTGATTCAGTGGTTAGGAAGTTGAAGGAGATGGCAGAGATGAGAGCTGACAGGAGTGCTGGGGTGACTGTTGGTGTAGTCTGCGCTATGGAAACAGTGAGAAGATGGGGATTTACAGGGAAGTCTGCTCGTGGACATGTCAACCTAGAAGTGCCTGGGAACCACTCACACGGATGTGCTGATTCAGAGAGAGAGAGAGAGAAAGAGATGAATGTCTTGTATAGGGTTTCCTAAGCTTTAAGTCTGGTGACAGTAGAAAGTCTTATCTTTCTTCTGTGGAGCAACTCGTAGGCTTGAACTGCTGACCTTGTGGTTCTCAGTCCAGTGCTTATTATATGGAATCCAATATATATATTTGTTAAGTTTATGCTGTTAAGTGTCGTCAAGTTGTTTCCAACTCAGTGACTCTGTATTGCATTTCTGAGGTGCGGCTGGTGGGTTTGAACTGCTGACTTTGCTGTTAGCAGTCCAATACTTACCCTCCAGTGCCACACAATGACTCTATATATGTATACGTATATATATGGAGCTCTGGTAGTGTAGTGTTTATGAATCCGGTTGCTAATCTCATGGTCAGCAGTTCAAAACTACCAGCTGTTCCGTGGGAGCAAGATGAGGCTTTCTGCTCCTGTAAAGATTTATAGCTTCGGAAACTCTGTACAGGGTCCCTATGAGTTGGAAACAACTCCCTGGCACATAACAACATATATATGTATATAGTTCTTAACGCCAAGTGAAGAGGTCTGGTTCGAGGTAGACATTTGAGAGTCCTAGGTTTATAATGATACTGAAGTCAAGGGAGTTTTTGAAATTAGAGAGATGGTATGGATTAAGAAGAAATGAGTCTTTTAAATGGCACTCTAAGGGTTTAGGATGAACCCTTAGAAAATGGAGCAGCTCAGGGGTGGGCGATGGGTTAGCAAAAGACTGGAAAAGAGCAGTCAGGTAAGTCTTAATTATATTGTACAATGAACAGGCTGTGGTACTGTGGGATCAGCACTGGACTTGTAACCACAAAGTTGGTGGTTCAGACTCACCAGCTGCTACCTGAAAACCTTATACAGGGTTGCTATGAGTCAGAATTGACTCCATAGCAAATAACAACAGTAGCAACATGAAGACTGGAATAGAATGTAATAAAGTGTGTGCCTATGTAGCAGGGGGTGGTGATGGTTTGGGGGGCCCTCAGCTCTGTTGAATGCAGTAGAGAAAGGCAAGAAAGATGGATTAACATGACGAGAGAATTGTGTCAGGGGAGTGCTGGGTGTTAAAGTAGTGTGATCATGGAGGATAGTATGAATTGAGTGAATGGAGACAGTGCATGCAAACAGTTACTAAAAGTTGAGCAATAATAAGGAGTGTGAAGCTGGAGGTTGGTAACATCGTAATGGGAGCACGCCAATAGGAATAGGTTGGAAAGACAGGGTAGAATATT